AGTACCATTTGTTGAAGAGACTGTCCATTCCTTATTGTGTTGCTTTTGCACACTTGTTGAAGATCATCTGACAAGATAAGCGAGGGTGTATTTCTGGGCTCTTTATTCTGTTCCATTGGTCTGTATTTCTTTGTATTATTTACACACTGCTTTGATTACCATAGCTTTGTAACATGTTTTGAAGTCTGGTGGTGTGAGGCCTCCAGCTTTGTTTTTCTTTCTCAAGGTTGTTTGGCTAGTCAGTCCTTTAAGATTCCCCATATAAATTTTGAATTTTTTTTTTTTGGTCTCTTAAAAAAACAGCATTGTGATTTTGATAGGGATGGCATGGAATCTGTAGATTTGCTTTAGGCAGTATGGTCATTTTAATAATATTAAGTCTTCAATAAGATTAAGTCCTCCAATCTATGAACACAGGATATCTTTCCATTTATTTGTATGTATCTTCTTTAATTTCTTGGAACAATATTTTATAGTTCTCAGTGTACAAGTCTTTTGCCTGTTTAAATTAATTCCTAAGTATTTTATACTTTTTGATGCTTTTGTAAATGGGGTTCTTTTCTTGATTCCCTTTCAGATTGTTCACTATTAATATACAGAATTGCAACTGATTTTTGTGTGTTGATTTTGTATCCTGCATCTTTGTTGAATTTGTTTATTAATTCTAATAAGGTTTTTGTTTCTTTGTTTAATCTTTAGTGTTTTCTCTATATAAGATCATACCATCTGTACACAGAGATCATTTTACTTCTTTTCTCATTTGGATGCCTTTAATTTCTTTTTCTTGCCTAACTGCTCTGGCTAGGACTTCCAATACTATGTTGAATAAGAGTGGCAAGAGTAGGCATCCTTGTCATGTTACTGATCTTGGAAGGAAAGCTTTCAGTTTCTCACTGTTGAGTATGGTGTTGGCTGTAGGCTTTTCATATATGGCCTTCATTATGTAGAGGTATGTTCCTTCTATTCCTAGTTTATAGAGTGTTTCTATCTTGAAAGCATGTTGATTTTTGTCAAATGCTTTTTCTGCATCCACTAAGATGATTACGTGGTTTTGGTCCTTCATCCAGATTGAAACTTTAAGTCAAATTGACTTTTATTTCTTTAATAAGAACTATGATCTGTATATTCAACACAATCCTATTCTGAGACTAGAAACTACAGATTCAGAGATGATAGGGACCTTGGAAGTCGACTAGTCCAAGTGAGATCCCAAAAGATTAAATGACTGGGCCAGTATCACACTGCAAGTTAACAAGAGGGTTGTTACTATATCCTGGTGAAAAATACATAATTTCTGTATTGGTGTATTTCCATGAACTTACATAGTTTATCTTATAGTAATATGGTAAAGTCTGAAAATACGTGGGAGGAGGGTGTGCATACATACAAAATATGTCCATCAAAGAACCATAACAGCGAAAAAATGGGAACAAACTAAATTGTTGGATTTAGAGGATTGGTAGGTATAGACTGCTATGTCCATACAAACACAAAAACAAAAACCACTATGCAGTACCTCTTAAGAATGATGTAAAACTATAATTTCATTGACATGGATGTAATTTATTAAGTGGAAAAAGTTACAAAACTGTATATAAAGTTTGATTCCATTTCAAGAATTATGTGTGTACACACATATGTACTTAAAACATCTAGGATTTATACAAAAATGTTAAAGGTGCTTTCTTAAGTGATTTATACTTACCCATATTTTCTAATTTATGTACAAAGAACATATATTCCTCACATAATTTAATAAAAGATCTAATATTAAATAATACTATATAAAATCTCATGTATACCTTCAAACAGCTTGACTTTGTAGGCAATTCCTAATTACTCATGTATGGGTTACCTGTCGTCCTATGTGAAGACAAGCTTATGCTCACAGATGGGCCTCCTCCATCTAGCCAATGAAGTTTCTGAGTTACATTCTTCTTAGCTATATTTAGTCCTTGACTCTATCTTTCTTAACCAATAGTGTTAGGCACTTTCTACAATGTTTTCAGGATTAATCTAATACATCAGCCACCATGCCTCTAATGAAACTTATTAGAGGTGCTCCAATCATATGCACAAATGAAAGGGAACACTGAGTAACCTGTTTTGATTACCATGTCCGTTACCAAAATACCTCCCTTCCCAGTAGATAGTCTGTGTCCAAAATAAAAACAAAAAAATATAGTCATTTAAAAATCTAAGTTGTTTCCCTTCCCTTCATGAACATTTCAGTTCAATCATTAATGGGGCCATAGGAAGTAGACAATTGTGTAGGCAGGCGAGAGGGGAAGTCCAAGCATAGTAAGCAACACATCTATATAAGAGAACTGTGTGTGTGTGTGTGTGTGTGTGTGTGTGTGTATACATGAGGGTAAGATTACCTACCAGGGCACTGACCAACTAGGTAAATATATCAAGACAATGGGAGCCAGTTTTTATTGTCAGAGAAGGGAATCACAAATATTAAAAAGGAGAAAACTAGAATGAACCCTATGGAGTTGGCTGATATTGGAGGTAATCACTGTGAATTCATGGCTTTTCAATATAGACAGACAATAGATAAGTAAAGTACAGGTGTATATGTGTGTTTGTGTAGATGTAAGTATAAACGTGTATGCAGAGCCACACACATTCTCTAGCTCTGTTCACTAAGGGGGACTCATCAAGTGATATCCCAATTGTGCCAAGGTCCTGGTTTGTAAACATCACTCTCTCCCTAGAAGGAAGCAGGGCTCCTTAGAGCAATGGCTGGTATCAGGGTGGGGAGAGAAAAGTACAAGATGAGCCTGGAAAATCTTACTGTGCCAGAAACCAAAGACGTGCTCAAGAAGGATGGGTCATGTCCAAAAGACACAGGAGCCAGCTTCACGCGGCTCCTGCTAGCCAAACTGGGGATAATTTCAACATGAAAATAAGTTAGAATGGTAATGGATCATAACCCACTGAATAAAACAGGAATCCTAGGGCCGGCTGAGTGGCGCGATGTTTAAGAGCTGGCTTGGAACACCAGAGGACCCCGGTTCGGATCCCACATATGAGGGCCAGTGACACTGCCCTCCACAGCTAAGATGCTGAACAACAGCTCGACCTGG